TATAAAATGCAATATAAATTCCAATAAGAAAACTACATTACGCACCGGACTCCGTGGCGCAACGGTAGCGCGTCTGACTCCAGATCAGAAGGTTGCGTGTTCAAATCACGTCGGGGTCAGTTCATGTTTCTATTTTTGCTTTTTCTTAAAAGGTTTATTTTTTCAAACATTGAAAATAGCATAAATTTTAATTAATATAATATGTAATGTGATTAATAATATTTTAATTATATGTATAAAGTTACAAATAAAATATGAACATAACCTTTCTTTATTGTTTACGTTCATTGCTGCAAATTCACATCCACCATAAGATGAATTATAAATGTTTTAGAATGAATTTAGATTAATAAATGGTGATAATGATAATATTGTTTTTTCACAGTCGTGAACATATATTTATAAATTTGTATGAATAAAATAATTTTGGTTATTTTGTTCAAATAAAATATAAATAACATTAAAAATATTTCCATTTGTGTATTAAACACATGACAAGTTTTACAAAATCAAAAGAGATGGGCAAAGAAAATGATTCTGATAATACAAAAAAGAGGAGGAAATCAATTAGTGGAAATTCTGGTATATCTCTGAAAGATGGAGACATATATAAGGTAAAGAAACTTTAAATAATAATTTTGTAGAATTTAAAATTATTTATTTCTTTTATTAGGTTATAATTAGTTATGAGGAAAAGGAAGCTATGGAGCGTTTACCAGAAAATGATTCTGAAAGTTTTTTATCTACCTGTGACAGTATAAGAAAAGCTATGAATAAAATTGCAAAGCTAAAAACTAATGGGGATGCAAATGTTTGTATATCAGTGAAAAAAATTAATTTAATTATTAAATTGTTTTTGAAAACAAATGTAGTTTGATAAATTTAAAGTGTATATTTTTAGGCTAAAGATGAAATACGTGAACTTCAAATTCAAACATCTTTAGCATTTATTGAATTAAAAAAATTAAACAGAATGGAAAAGTTCCGTACAAAATTTGCAAGAGATTCTCTTATATCCTCAAAAAGCAGTGTTGATAGTAGGCATTTACATTTACAAAATCTGTTGTACGAAGTAATGCACTTAAAGAAAGAAGTTGTTAAATGCCTTCAGTTCAAGTAAATATCATTTATTTAAAATCATTCATATGTAATTTATTTGATGTATTCATTATGTAATATACATATGTTAATATATAGGTCGAAAGATGAATTAATACAACTTGTATCAGAAGAGGAATTTTATAAAGAAGCACCTGAAAATATTTCTAGGCCGGTATGAAATGAATTTAAATTAATGTTATTTTTAATTACTATATTATAATTTAATGCTTTTAGGAAATAACAAAGCATAATCATCATCAGTTAAGACTAGCACGTTTAGAGTGGGAATTAACACAAAGGAAACAATTAGCTGCTTTATGTGATGAATTGACAGAGAACAAAAAAGCAGTGGCATCAAGTATTGAATTAAAACAAACTCGACTTGATAATCTTGCACCACAACTTCGCTCAATATTAGAAGTATTTCTAACATTCATAAAAGTATAATTTTTCGTTCATGAATAATATTTAAATTATTATAAATCTCTTCAGGCAAGTAAGCCATTACAAGAGAGTCTTGGTTTACTATTGGATAAAATTAGACAAGAACATCACAAGGCAACATTACTTGCATCACCATTATATGTTCTTTATGCAAAGGCATCTGCATACAGGGACGCATATGGTACCTTTTCTTTATCTTTTAAATGTTTTATATTTTATTATTTTATTTTTTTATAAGTCCTTTATTTCAGATAATTCTATAGTAGTAAAAGTAGAAGGTGATGAAGAAGAAGCAAAACGTGCAAATAATCAAGATGGACTGCAAGAATCAGATTCAGATGCAGAAAATGTTTCAGAAAATATTATAGAAGAAACACCTGTTCACAAAAAGAGACATCATAGATTATCTAGAGAAGCAAGACAAGAAGAGAAAAGAACTAAGCTATTACAAAGACATCCTTTAAATGTGAAAATAATTATTAAATTAAAAAGTTAATATTTATATTACAAAAAATCGGAAGTCATAAATTAGTGTTTTAAAATACTAAATTTTAATTCATAATTTCTTTCAGATGAAACAAAATTAACATTGCAGTTTTATTATATGATGTTTCTAAAAGTTGTAACTGTAGAATCAAAACTAAAAACTGATGGAGTTGCAGGCATTAGTACAGGGTACAGAATTTTTTCTATATTATTAATGTATTCATTTTTTAAAAATATTCCTTATAAATTTTTTTGGTAGAGATATGCTTGTATCGGAATCGATTTTGCGTGAGTTGTATCCACGAGATTTAGGATTAGAAAGTCCAAATCCTGCTAATTATTATCAGTTAAATCGACATAATTTGGGTCAATTTTCATCACTCGGATTAGGGATCCCATATAAATGGGCACAAAGAATGGCTGGATTACATTTCATTTCACCCGATACTCGAGAACAAAAGGTATAAAATTCATATACCTTTATGTATTGCAATAATGTATCATTTATTAAATTATTTAAGAGCAATTTGTGTAATAATATTTTACAGCTTGCAGGTTGTGAAGTAACACAAGATAGCGTTGAAAGTGTATTGAGAGAAATTAAAAGACGTGTAATAGCAAGATTAGAATTATGCACAGAGATTCGACAATTAGAATGTGGAAATTTACCAGTTTTTATTACTAATAATGACCTTTTACCACAAAAACTTAGTACAATTTTACAAAAGTTTTCAACAATTTCATGGAATAATTATTGTAATAACGTAAATCCTGTTTTTCAAGAACAAAAATTAGTATCTTCATTGGATATCTTTTATGAAGCTATACTTCGTCGTGGAAATAGTAAGATATTGTAAAATTATTTAAGATAAAAATCTGCATTTTATTTCTTATCTTACAATATTTGTTTCAGATGAATTAGTTGCAAGAATAGCAATAAAACCAGATTATCCAAAAATAGCACCAGTATTTAATATAAGTATACATCCTACGGTACCTGCATCTGTGGATATTTTAAGGGATATTGAAAGAGAAGTGAATGTTATGTGGACAAAACCACCAACATTATCTGCACAACTTCAACGATTGCGAGCATGTTTTGATATTTATTTAGAATCAGAAAGTATTGCACCTAAAGAAAAAATTTTCTTTCACCCTGTAAAAGGTCGTACTCGTGCCAGACCATACAAATATTTAGAATTAGGGGGTGGAATTTTTATTCATCGTTAATTTAATACAGTACAAGATGATATATATGAATACATTTTTGCAAAATATATTACATTCTAATATAAATATTATTTACTCCTTATCCACAATCATAAAAAGTAATTATACAAAAATTGTTTAATCTAATGGTAAAGTAAGTGGATATAATGCAAATATACCAGAATTGATGGTGAGGCATGATTGTAATTTGTATTTTAATTTTTTATTTTCTATACAAAGTTGGTTACCTTCTTTTTTCAACAGAATATTATTTACTTTTATACGATTATAGTATTCCCAAAAGTTGCTGACTTTACCGCACGATTCTGGTATCTGAAATAGTTTATTTAGAATGTTATTATAATAATGTATAATATGTTTCTTGTATCGATTCTTACATTAGCATCTGCACATTCAGCATATACTGCATTTGGTATGAAATATTTCTTCAAATTAAACAGTAAAGGTTCCAAGGTGGAACATATTTTAAATATTCCAAGGATCATAGAACCTTTCTCTACAATTCTTTGTAAATACTAAAGAAAAGAAGAAGCATTAACATATCATAAAAATATAGGATAATAATTAGAATAAACAATATTTTCTTACTTTTAGAACATTGTTGCTTACAACAGTCAATCTTTTTAATTGTGAAATATCTATTGTTTGAGTTACAGTAAATTCATGTTTAATATTTTTGTATTTTTCCTTTATGTTTATATCTTTTACTTTAAGTTTTGCAATTTGTTCATTTTTTTTTTGTGATAGTAATTGTATATTGAATTTTAAACTTTCAATAACATTCTGTAATTGTAAATGTACATTCGGATATTGAGATATACACATTTGAGAAGTATCATCTTGTTCTTTTAAATACTCATACTGTTTTTTTTTATTCTCAACTATTCTTTGATATTCCTTTATTATTCTCTGTAACTCTTCCCAAAGATTTTCTATTTGTACAGAAGATTGGTCTACAAGATCTGATGTCATGTTTCCTGCCTAATATTTAATACAGTTATTTATAAAAATTTAGTTTATAATTTTTTGTACCATAAATTAATATTATTACCAAGTATAAGATACTAAAAATATTAACAGCGTTTTGTGTTTTTCTCATAGATTGTGTCTGATCAAAGATTATGATTTTCTTGCTTATATTATTAGAAATTTCTTTATAACACTGTTTTACATAACTTTTTAACTGATTTAACTCCACCATATTAATTGTTTTAATATCATTAAATTTATACATATCGTGTAAGTCTTTTAATTTTTGTTTATATTTTCCTGCATAATTTTAGAAAGAAATCATAGCTATAGATTTGTAAATAATATCATGAAAATTAAATTAATAATTTTGATAAATAATTTAAAAGATACCAATTATATTATTAATTAATAAAATATGAGTCTCTTGAAGTTTTCTGTGGTCTGCATCTGCTATTTTTAATTCATTGTAAAGATAAGAAATTGTTGCATCTTTAGCTTTTACTACTCTATCAAAAGTTGTGGAAAGATGTTTCACATTTTTATGAAGTTCTTTACATTTTATTTGTCGTAAAACATATCTCCATTTTTCATTAATTTTGGCAATATTTAATTTTGAAAATATTTCTTCGCGCTTTAATTTGTTCTGTAATAATGTGTAATATTTATAATGTTATAATATAAAATTTTAGTAAATGATCTTATACCTTAGTGAAAATAGCTATTAATTGTTGTTTACGCCTTTTAGCTTCCAGTTCAAATTCAATTCGATGCTGCATATAACGTGCGCGTTCTTCTTCATTCATTCGAGCAAGTTTACTGCTTTTACTTTTTCTTTTTTTTAGCATTTTTAAATGATTCTTCTTATAACTTAACTAAAGAAATTATACTTTTCAATAAAATAAATGTATTGATATGAAATCAAAACATTTCTTCAAAAACATTCAATTATAAATTAATTATTATATATTTTCTATATAATAAATTAATAATTTTCAATAAATTTAATACAGGTAATACATTGATACTAAATAAGTAACTTGTAAACAGTACCTTCCTTTTATAAAGAGCATGTTTGATCAATAGGAATATTAAAGCTTAGAATAAACAAGTATATTTTGTTCCTAAGACATTTATTTATATAAGTAAGTAAGTAAGTAAGTAATTACATAAGTAAGTAGTTTGTTTTTATTGTTACATTTTTTTAATTATAAATGTAAATGTGAAAAATAACGGGTAATACATATTACAAAATAAGATAATTATTAATTATTTATAGAAAGCTGACGCTCAGTGATACAAATTGACTAAAACACGAACTAAAATTAAATTTTCGATTTTATCGAAAATCCATGCAATTTTACTCGTAGGTTTTTTTATCTATAAATTAAGTTTTGACATGCACGCGGGTTGCTATTTACCTAGGATATTTTACAAAAATTTTGAAAACAAGAAAAGATATTTATTTTAGGGCGATTACATTTTCTGTTGAGATTAGCATACTTTTCTACGCTATATTTTTATTTCGATATAGATTAGCTTAAATTTACCGAATGTAGTATTAAAGAGTGATCTTTTAAATATAAATGTAAAAAATAAATAAGATAAGCATATTTTAATCCGTTAAAAGATATCTTTTCTTGCATCACAATAAATTTGATATAAATGCATATAAGCCACGATGACTACGATTACTGAACCACTTGCAACTTTAATACTTATAATATTTTTGATTAGCTTTAGCTTCCGAAATATGAGCAAAATTTCTTCCGTAACTATTATAGGGGGTGTCCTATTTGAAGTTTCGCATTCAATTATTTCCTAAACTACAGTTCATTTAAAAAATTATTTCAAATGAAGTTTACCCTGTTTCAAAGGGGACATCTTATAATGGTCATAAATTTTTGCTAGATGGACGTACTTCCGAGATTTCAACCTGACCTTAATTTTTTTTTTATTGGAACTGTATTTTTTTTTTTATGTAAGTGGATAGTGCATTTCAGGATAAATTCATTGATCTATCATACTTTAGTCTTTGAAAGCCGTTCAGTCATTTAATGCTGTTTAAAATTTATTTTTATTAAACGTTTACTAGGCTGGAGATAAATTGCAAAAAGGAAATATCCTTTTATGCATATGTAGCAAAACATATGTAATTCAAATGAACATGAAAATATTAATAGTTGTACTGTATCTGTATATTTTCAACAAATAACTGATAAAGTATGTTATCTATTAAAAAAATTGTTTATATATAAATCATTCTTAAATAAGTTCTGTAAACAGGAAATATTATTTTAGTAAGATGCAGATTATGACATTGTGTCAAATAGTGAATATATTATATCAAGAACAGGATTTAAAGATAATTCATCCCATTATGAATTAAACAAAAAGACAGGTACAGTTTAAGGAAATTGCAAAACTTTTAAGAGCCTATGGTATAGATTTAGACCACAACCATTTCCTAATTTTACAGGTATGTATATTATTTATTAATGATATTTTTTTGTAACTTTATATGTGTTTATATTACATTATGATCACAGGATAAAGTTGAACAAATAGCAATGATGAAGCCTAAAGGCCAACATGATAATGATACTGGTATGCTTGAGTTTTTAGAAAATATAATTGGAACAGTTTGCTATAAAGAGCCATTAGAAAAACTGTCAAATTCATGTCATATAAATTTTTGTCATTAAATTTTTTGTAAAAATGCAAGAATATTGTGTAGAAAGTATGCTCAATGGCTTATTTTTAAACATTGATGACCAATTACATTTATTTATAAGTATAAATAATTATAATTATGAATATCAATAAGCTTGGGAAACTCTCACCTAACTTTTTAGATAAGAATGAACTTCTTAATTTTTTTAACTTTCGTGTCATCCTTTATTTTAATCAAAAATTGTGTATTTTCAGGAAAACTCATATTTCATGAAAATTGGGAGTGATAGAGCAATTTCGTTCGCAGATTGGTATTCAGGAAGATAGTAGAAGGTAGAATAGTATTATATATAATTTATAAATATAAAAATGCATAATATACAAATAATAATTTACATACTTGAAATATATGATACATGTTTTAATATTTTTCACTGTTTAGGAAGGCTTCTATGCTATAGATGGCAAATATGATATTGCAATCTCTGGTGGACCTCTAGATGATATTGCAGTTGATACTGTAGCAACAGCACAAAAATGTATAACATTCTTTTGACAAAACAATGTTAGACGTGCAATGTTTATATCGTTAGGAAAACAATAGCATTTTCTGATGAAGTGTAAACACAAAAAATAAACTCCAGTGAACGTTCCAAGGTTGTTTAACTTCATACGTGTAGAGGATGAAAGAGTATTACCAGCATTTTATTATGGATTACAAGATACGTTAGTAGCAAATGGTTTAAATCAAGCGATATGGGTTGCATGTGGCAATAAACGTTTTCAAGTAGTTACATTAAAAGGCAAATTAATATAACTGGGACGGATTAATTTAACAGAACAATGAGTGGAGGTGAAAAAGCAGCATTGAAGGGGAGAATGGGAAAAAAAGTTTTGAGAAGTGAACTGTCACAGGCAGTAATGTTGAAACATTACAGTCAATTTTAAATAAAACTTATGAAGGGTACAATCAACTTAAAACTAAGTGTCAATTGTTAGAAAATCAGTATCATACTCTAGATGCGAGTATAAAAGATATGACAGTTCAGAAGTAAAATTTGTATTTGCTCTTGTATTTGCATTACATAATTGTAAACCAACTTCTTTATATTTTATGGATAAAATAGATGCTGCCTTGGATTTCAAAAATGTTTTAATTATTGGAAATTATATCAAGGAAAAAACAAAAAAGGCACAATTTATAGTTATATGGCTAAGATCGTATATGTTTGAAATTGCAGATTGTCTTGGTAGAATATACAAAACGTACAATTACTCAAAATGTGTTACAACTAATTTAAAAAGGTGGAATTGTTCGTCCATCACAAATTACATAAGCTTGTAATCAACGCAATTTCAGATATTTAATATGCTCAGTCAACATAAAGAAAATTGTACAGTATAGAATGCAAATATTGTATAAACTATAGATGAAGCTATAGATGAAATTCGAATATCAAACCAAAATACATTGACGTAAGTAAAATACATTGCTTGAGATATGTACATTTAATTTTTAATGTTATATAAATTCATTATGCGGTTAATAATATTTTTTGAATTTTAAATATTTTTTATATTTCCATGACAATCAGAAAGTGATTTTTTATAAATTTTTTCATGTAGATTATTGATTTCAAGAAGGTCAGGTTAAAAATTTGTTGTATATGCTTGCATTTTAAAGCATTTTATTTTATATATGGTCATTCAGTTTAGATAATTACCATTGTTCCTGTTTGTATTTGTAAATAATGTTAGAAAATATCATCAGAGTATAATATATCTTCGTGGATAAACTTATCAATATAATAAGCAACAATTTTCAATAATTTACTTATTCTAGTAATTTACAAAATTTGCGTATGTGCTCTTAATATTACACATGAAGTCATGTTTAATATGTTGTTATTATTACTAATAATAATATGTTGTATTACAAAGTAACTTACAAAGAAACTAGTTGTTACAGTGTGATCTCGATATTGTTTAAAAACAGAAGTAATAGTAATGATAGTTAGTCAAATTGCATAAATACAACAGATGTACTTGTTGCATTTTCAGTACACATCTGTACCTAACTCTCTGTTCATATTTGTTGTATAAAATTTCTTTAACATTCTTGAATTTTTGAATTTCTATTCTCAGTTTTTGGTTTATATTTACCGATTATGTTAGGCTGTCAACTTCGTATCCATATATATTGCTCATTACTTAAGTGTGCAACTTCCATTTGTGTATAGTGTTTCTTTATATAATATTATAACATCTTATTGAATTTTTTTAGATTTTCATGCCATGAATAATAATTTTTTCTATTTATATGTTCTGTTATTTTAATCTAATTATATATTTCTGGGTACAAATTATTAACTTTTTATTTGTTTTCATTTTTTTTGTTTGCAAAATCCTAAGCTCTATCTATATGCCTACATTATACGATAGGGTTATCATTTATTATATATTATTTCAAACATTTTTAAAATTATATTTTTGATATAGATGTAATATGTTCTTTTTTCCTCTATTTTATATGTCCCTGATTTTAAAAATGATATCCCAAATTTGATATATATATATATATCCTATCACTTCTATGATTTTATCATTGTATTTAATTTTCATGGTTCCCACTTCTCTATTTATTTGCTTATATTTTAATCTTCTTTTTATATATTAGTATCACATTTAGTTTCTTCCATAAATTTAATATTTATAGGTCATCCATGTTTGAGTATTTCCTGATTGTCACTGTTCATGAACTTCTTGATATTGTATAATATCATTGAAAAGAGAAATAGGCCCAGTCTCCCGTTCTGAATGATATTTTTGTTTATTTTTATTTATTGAATCTTTTTGTAATTTTAATATTATTAAATGTTTTTGTTACTTATTCAGTTTCTATTTCTTGATTTGTTGAAATTGCTTTTGATTTGTATTAATTGGACTTGTTACTATTTCACATTAATTTATTTTTTATATTTCTTACTTGCTTCTGGGTTATCATATTTTATTATTATTTTTCATTTGATTTTTGTTAATATGTGGTTTAAACTTCTCATTTCTATTATTTTAATATCTGCTATTTCTTTATAATAAATTTGTACTTACTTATGTCTTACTTATATCTATTATGCTTATATCATTTTTTTCATATTTATATAGTATCTCTATCTGAAATGCTTCTACTAATTAATACCATGAAATCTAGTTCTTTTATTTTGTTTAATGTATTTAGTCACATATCAGTTTCATTTATTGCATTACATTTCATTTGCAAAATTATTTGCAAAATTATATATTTGCAAAATTTCATTTCCTCCATTATGAAATCTTAGTTGTGGTTTCTTATATGCAAGTTACAATTATCTTTTATAATGATAGATATATAAGCTTTCTTTTTTTAAATTTTATTCAGCATTGCTAATATCTGTTTGTAGATGTTTTCTTTGTTTTTACCTTTTGCTTATGTATTACATATTCTGTATTTTTTTTTTTATTTATTTCAATTCTTATATATATCTATATTTTGCTTATTTTAATCATATTTATCTTAAAATTTTACATTACTCTTAAAATTTATTCCGTTAATTTTAAAATGAATTCTGTTTTTATTACATTAATGTTAAAATTGACCATAAATATATCATTACATATTTATTTACATATGAAATTGCTTACATATTTAATAATCTTTTATACTATTTACATATAACTTTGTTAATTCATATATATATGTATATATTTTAGAAGATAAATTTTATTTTCATTTCTTTTCATTATTGTTTCCATAGTATGTTTTCTCTTTCTGCCAAAATAATTGAGATCTATTTTTCCATATCAATGTCACTATCTACATGTACATTTTAGTGCAATATTGCAATACATTTCTTTTATTCTTTATATTTGTTAAATGATTATTTATGCGAATTTGTTTACTTCTTACTATTTCTCTGCGTGGTTTTATTTTTTGTTTATTTTTTCAATTTAATAGCTTTAGTGTTATCTGTATTGTAGTTCTTTGTGTCTTTTCTTTCACTAAATTTATTAATTTAGAATTCGTCTTTCTTATTTTAAAAAATTTTTTTTGTATTTTGTATTTTATTTATCATTGTATCCATGTTACATATGAATTATTTTAGTATTTATTTTGTTTTTTTCCTGTTCATATTTATGTTTTAACTATTTTTTCTAGAATTCAATATTGTCTATTTTTTGGTCAACTTACTGCTTCTTTCCTATTTAATCATTCTTTGTTGCATTTTTTTCATTTATCATTTTATTAGTGTTGTCTTGGGATTTCCTTATTCAGTCTCAACTTCTACTATTTTCTTTTCCCTCTCTCAATGTTTTGTTTTATTTTGCTTTTCCATGGATCTTTTACTATTTTATTATTCATATTTTGAATTCATTTTTAATTTTCCATACAGCATTTTTGTATTTAATACTGACTATACTTTGTCTTTTGTGCTTAATGTAATATATTTTTTATTGCTGTTTATATCATTACTTATGATGAGAAAAAAAGTTACTTGATATTTAATAAATAATAATATAAATTATTTACTTATGATAGATATAAAAAGTAGCTAATTTCTGATTAATGAAAATAAAATGTCTAAAAAGCATTAAATATTTTGCTGAAAATTTAGAACTTAATGTTTTCAAACAAATAATATTTACCTTTTTATTTTGTCTTTTTGTATTAATAAGATAATTAAAATATAAAATGGTGTATCGATAAAACTATGTAAGTCATACAGTATGGATAATATACAATTTATTATTTGCTTTTAATTTCTTTTAGGAATGAAATTGCACGATAAAAACATTTTTGAAATCACATTTAATATTTAGATTTTTTAAATATGAAAAAATAATATATAAAACGTCATATTGTGTAATAAAATTGTGTTGTAGCTTAGTATATCTTTTGTTTTGTTTCAGATTACCTGAATTAGGATTGTGTTCAACATTGTTACGCAAAAAATGTGTAGAACATAAAATATATATTTCTATTAATATATAATTACTGAATGTTCTGTTAATTAATGTGTATATGGAAGATATATTTTTATATGTACATACAGAGTATTCTGTACTTGGCGGTATAATTAGAAAAGGGGTAATACTATGTGAAAATGAAGTCAAAGATACGGAATATAATTTTTTTGTGTAAGGCATTGTTTTTTTATAAAAATATTTGTCTCCAATTTGCTGATTTGCATATATATATCAAATAAATATTCGATCAAGTTTTTTAAAAATTAAGTCTCATATGAAACAAATTCAACTTATTTAACTAATTTCTTCATGTAGATTTATTTCATTCAAGTTGTGCCATCACTTATAAGATATATTGTGTAATAACTTAAATTTAACTGATATAGAAGTTTATATGTAAATTACAATCATTTATGAACATTTATTTCTTATTTGAATAAATAATATTTGTAATATATAATACAAAGAAAAACTGTTGCAATCAAATGTCTGGAAAATGTTATTATATATTATAATGTAAATAATAATGTTTTCATATTGTAATTAAAATTTTCAAAAAGTATTTAAAATTGTAATGTTATTTTGATATAACATATATGTATATAAAATGACATAGTAAAGAATTATTTTGTTAACTAATGTATTATTATTGAAAAAGTAACTCTTTAGTTTATATATTATCTTATTTGTCTTCCAGTATTATTCTTTCTACGAAGAAGTACGAGTTTATTACTAATTAGTAATTAGTAATTGAAGAAGAATATCATTTTGTCTTAAAAATTCCATTGATATTTGATATTAGATATAAATTGTTATCATCTGTCAAGTGTAATAAAGTAGCTGATAATTATCATTTTATTTATTCACTGGGATACGTTACTTCAGTTTTCTTTCGAACTCCGGTGAAGCAAACATTCGAAACTAATTGCGAAGAAGTGGGATAGATTTGTAAGGAAAAGGAGAGGTTGCATGTCAGTGGGCGGGGAGTAGGTATGTATGATATAAGTATCATCGAGTAAGAGATTAGAATTTAAACAGTCTGTGTTTGTTGGTATTAGAAATTACAACCATGAAGAACGAGGAACTTGCTGAAGAACAAAATGCGGGAAAAGGATTAACGAAAAGTCATGGTAAGTAATGTAGTTTTAAGCATTGTACTTTCAATTACATTTAGGTACTTGAACAATTACGTGCTATAATTTTTCTAAACTCTATATTCAATTCGAATAATTTTTCTAATTTAATTTGGCAGAAGCATTTTAAATATATATTTAAAATAATGTTCATAATTTTCAATTTTTTTGTAGTTATTAATATCAAACGTATTAACTCTGTAATTATTTCTATATTCGAAATTCGTAATTTGGAGTAGAATGTCACTTCGTAATTGAATAAACATATTTAGCGCCAAAAATGGTAATGATAATAATAAAATTAAAAAATTTTATAAATTAATAGTTGAATTAATCTTTTTGTGTTACAAAAGTAACACTTTTATATCATTGCTTCATAAATTTGTCAGTGTAATATTTTAAAGTAGTTTTAAGAAATCCTTTTAAATTTATTTCGTCTTGGATAGATATAATTATTCTTTACGAAATGATTTATGAAAAGTTTACAGTATTAGGTAATCCCAAATACAGTTCGAATAATAATAGAAATTATTTTTTCATAATGTGCATAATCGTAAAATAGTAAAAATAAAGTTCAGCAGTGTAATTTTAAATACGCAACATAATATACCCAGAGTCAAAGGTTAATTTATCTGCGGTAATTTTTATACAATTTGTACGTATTTATTAATTCTTCAATTCTTCCACTGATCTTATTTTTAACAATTCATATTAACGTTCAAATTCTTCACGTTTGAAGGAGACAAAATTTATACGTACGATGCGATTTTATCAGTGACTTCTTTTTATTTTCATGAGCAAAGTGTTATTTAATACTAAACATAATATAGACCTTAATATGCTTCTTTGAATTATCCAGTGTCTTTGAAAGAAATTTGTAAGATAATGAATGGTTTTCCCATTGTTTAATTTAGACTTATGGTATTAAATTTAAGTATCGTATCATATATAACATCATAATTGATGATTATTGAATATTATCTTCACGATATAATCACGAATTAATCCATTTTAACATATTGTTCAATTAACATATCTCTAAATGTGTTAGATAGCAAAGAAAAGATAAACATTTTTGATTGATTCAAACGTTAAAGAAAGACATTTTTTTTTACATTCTTAGCAGAAACTAGATTAAAATTTGACTTGAAATTTCCATATCGTATCAGTTTTGTCTCATATTTCTTCAGTCATGTAGTACAAGGTATTACAAAATTTTTAAAATTAGTTAATAAATTATATGTTGAATTAACATATCGATAAATTTTTAATGCGAGTTTGAAATATTGAAATACGTATGTTATACGATGATTGTCAGCAAATTTCGTGATAACAAATTCGTAATAATAATAATATTCAAGACACAATTGAAGGGAGCGTGATAATAGTAATTTGTTTATTGCTATTATTACATAATTTTTAAGGTGGTACACATTTTATAACGTTATTGCATAAATTTTATATTATTCTTAGTAAGCCTGATCAATATATCCATAATATTTTTAAGTAAAACACCATTAACAGCACACGAGTTTTATCCGTGTATTAGAGTTGATCTATTATTTTTATTTACTTATTTGTATTTATTCCTTTCTATGACATAAATAGATTAAAATACCAAATTACTTTGTCGAAAAATTTCAAAGAATTTTTTCAAATATCAATATCAAGTTAATCATAAATGACCACATAAATCTATTAAAAGTGAACATAATTTCAATTTATTATATTTGAAATAAGTATAAGTTACAATTATATTATTATTATAATTTTTATTTATAAAATTTATTATAATGGGCAAGAATAATTTATAATTTAACATGGTTTAAAAGGGTACAACGTATTACAAAAAGAATTTAGCATTATGAAGGAATTTAAAAAAAAAGCCGTTTGAATCATCATTTGATATCTATTAGTATATAACTCGAGGTTATAGAGGATGTTACTAGAATAATGGTACAGTCGGTCAAGTAGTGATTTTACAACGTAGACAACGACAAGTCGGAAAAGAAATAACATTTTTTTATCTGAGGCTTTGTTTTCGAGAAAAATGAGATTGAATATCTGCCAAGCAGATGTTATTAACTGCTATCTGTCATTGTTACTACCATTTTTACCGTTGTTTTGTATTGTCAGTTATACACAGATCGAAAATGCTTAGATGTGATTCTTACTTGAAAGAGTGACCGATCTTATCTTTATTTCTGAAACGTTCAAAATTAAATACAGGATCGACGCAATATTATAACGAATTATAATAAGAAGGATAAAAAATTCGACAAATCGAAAGTTATAGTTAGTGTTAAGAGCAACTGTTGGATCTTTTTCAAAAACAAAACCTTCAATGAAAAAATTAACAAAATTATTTTTTACAACTTATTTTTGCATGTAGAATAATTCTACATAATATCAAACAACCAGCCGATTGCACCATGATTTTTGAGACACTCTGTATTGGTTTGAATCTGTTATAAACGTATAACATAATAGATTAAAAAAATTGATCTTCTCACACAGATACATGATGCATGAAGTGAAGGGAGAAGAAAAATCATTCTCAAATGATTTTATTTTTTTTTTCGTAGAATAATTGGCTTAATTATCTGTCGATTTAATATGAAACGTAATAACTATAATAATTCGAGAAAAATATTCTTTTGTAAATAAAAAAGGTATAATTCGAAGCAAAATTTTTAAATTCTTCGTAACTCTGAATATTCAAAAACCATTAATAGTCATCGTGAAAAGAACAAATGTCTATATATGAGTTGTACTATTTATAATTAGTAAAATTTAATTTTACTAATTTTTTTTTTAAATTAGTACTAATTTCACTACAATTAGTGAAAGGCGCAAATTATTTTTGTATTTTTTTATTTCAAGTAAGAAATACTAATAAAATCTTAAATAGACTCTAATAATGAATATGTATGAAGGAAATAAATAAGAATAAAATTATGATATAAATATTTGATAAATTATGGAAATATTAATCCTTGAAAATTAAGCGAATTTTACATTATTTTCGTATGCTCGTTTCTTGCAAATATATAATGTATTCTGCAAATTAATTTAATTTTGATTGGACTAATATTTACTTGTCTGCGTGATTTTTTAAATTTCGTACAAAGATCAATCTACAGATACACATATATATATATATATACATATACACATACAGATACACTGTAGAATTTTATAAGACGTATAATCCTCCTGTAAGTATGAAGAATATTGTGTTTAATGGATTGATTCTTGAATTAAATGATAAAAGTCAAAAGATAATATGTGTAACATTTGTAGCTTCCCATTCTTCAAGTATGATTCTTTCAAATATTTCCTAACTGATGTAGAGGAATGGTGGTTGGGAAATAACATTTCACACAGAGTCTCTGAGTATTAAACAATAATGGTATATTTGGAAGTAAAAAGATCGGTTATTGCTATAAAATTCTGATGACTAATTCAGCTGATATCACATATATATACTTCATTTCTGTATTTTATAAATTTCAAATATATATTTAAGTCGTTTCTGAGTTTCTCCTTATCAATTTTCTTAATTAAATTTTATTAATAAATTGGTATTTAAGTTGAAAATATGAAATTTTAATTTATTTAAATTTGCTTAAATCTTTGAGATTTTATACATAATGGTATTTCAATAAATGGTAATAAGGTATTTAAAAATGACAGATTTTGTTAAGAAATGTTTTAAATGGATTTTTATATAAAAATTAATGATTTTATGTAAATAAAATAATTGCGATATATATATAATTTTTTTTAAATTAGTACTAATTTCACTACAATTAGTGAAAGGCGCAAATTATTTTTGTATTTTTTTATTTCAAGTAAGAAATACTAATAAAATCTTAAATAGACTCTAATAATGAATATGTATGAAGGAAATAAATAAGAATAAAATTATGATATAAATATTTGATAAATTATGGAAATATTAATCCTTGAAAATTAAGCGAATTTTACATTATTTTCGTATGCTCGTTTCTTGCAAATATATAATGTATTCTGCAAATTAATTTAATTTTGATTGGACTAATATTTACTTGTCTGCGTGATTTTTTAAATTTCGTACAAAGATCAATCTACAGATACACACATATATATATATACATATACACATACAGATACACTGTAGAATTTTATAAGACGTATAATCCTCCTGTAAGTATGAAGAATATTGTGTTTAATGGATTGATTCTTGAATTAAATGATAAAAGTCAAAAGATAATATGTGTAACATTTGTAGCTTCCCATTCTTCAAGTATGATTCTTTCAAATATTTCCTAACTGATGTAGAGGAATGGTGGTTGGGAAATAACATTTCACACAGAGTCTCTGAGTATTAAACAATAATGGTATATTTGGAAGTAAAAAGATCGGTTATTGCTATAAAATTCTGATGACTAATTCAGCTGATATCACATATATATACTTCATTTCTGTATTTTATAAATTTCAAATATATATTTAAGTCGTTTCTGAGTTTCTCCTTATCAATTTTCTTAATTAAATTTTATTAATAAATTGGTATTTAAGTTGAAAATATGAAATTTTAATTTATTTAAATTTGCTTAAATCTTTGAGATTTTATACATAATGGTATTTCAATAAATGGTAATAAGGTATTTAAAAATGACAGATTTTGTTAAGAAATGTTTTAAATGGATTTTTATATAAAAATTAATGATTTTATGTAAATAAAATAATTGCGATATATATATAAAACAAAATAATAAAGAATAAATATAATAATAACCAATCATTAATAAATAATGAATTATTCAGATGAGAAACCTTATGGAGCTTCAACTTCTTACGTAGCATCAATGTCATCACCATCTTCATCTTTATCATCTCATTTGTATCATACTTTTTTCTTGTTTCCTTTTTTATTATTTGATCTGACGCGATTCGGAGCTATATTTATAATTAAAATACTAATAAAGTATATTATATATTACGGATATATTACAAAATAATTGAACTAAAAAATATACTACACACTAGAAATATTTATATATTAGTTAAATTATATTATTATATATTTAAGCAAAATTCAATTGCTTGTTCATTGTATAGGAATAAGTTAAATTAATAATATCCAATTTTACGTAGTCAAAACATCCATGTAACACGCTCCTTTATTCAACTTGCAGTCTGGCCGGTGCTGGAGCAACTGTTTATTTACATATCCTTCGGAGTTGCAGTTAGTTGCATTTAATTCTTTCTGTAAAATAAAGAGGAGACTTGATATTTTAAGATGTCATAAGAATGAACGTTGAATGGCACTGAATGGATAACGAAAAGCTATAATGAAAATTAAAAACATTCAAAGTGTTATAACTAAAAAAATATTGCAAACAAAAATTTGAAACTTTGCTCAGTTTCAGGGTGTACTAGGTAGATTTCATTGTATCATTCACTGTGCAATTATAATGAACATTTTTAACAGAGGATAATAGATACATGTAACTTGCCACAGTGCATCGTTTCGGCTATCGAAATTAGGCTTCGCAGGAAACTTGAACAATTCACGCTGGGTATGGAATGTGTTAAATGCTAACGTTGACTGACTCTCAACTCCGACAACTCCGACAACTCCGACAACTCCGACAATTCCGACAACTCCGACAACTCCGACAACTCCGACAACTCCGACAACTCCGACAACTCCGACAACTCCGACAACTCCGACAACTCCGACAACTCCGACAACTCCGACAACTCCGACAACTCCGACAACTCCGACAACTCCGACAACTCCGACAACTCCGACAACTCCGACAACTCCGACAACTCCGACAACTCCGACAACTCCGACAACTCCGACAACTCCGACAACTCCGACAACTCCGACAACTCCGACAACTCCGACAACTCCGACAACTCCGACAACTCCGACAACTCCGACAACTCCGACAACTCCGACAACTCCGACAACTCCGACAACTCCGACAACTCCGACAACTACGACAACTACTTTTTTTTTTGTTACCTGGAGGAAATTTTCAGAAGATGCTCTGGCCATCTAGGGGAGGGGATGGGGTTATGTGAAATTTTTACTTATTAAAACCTCCACGGCGGCCAACTTTCCTGCGTTGGGGGAGCACCGGGTACTCGGACGAACACAATCGGTGCTCCCCCGGGGCATGCACTTATTTGGGACCCATCTCGAGGGGGAGGATAGATTTCACACCACCTCGAGAACTCTAACAACACTGATAACTCTCTCTCTCTTTCATTCTAATTGCCTTGTTTAAATTAGCATTGTCTCTTGTTTCAAACTCATGTTCTCTTCCTCAATCGCGTATTTTTTATGCAAAATCCGCAACTTCGTCCCCGGCGGGCTAGGTATCCTAAACACTTAAACGCATTTCTAGATTTTCGCTCTTTGCTCGCACATAACACTGCCTTACATATGTCATCCATGACAGATGTAGGACTACGCATTCTCTTTTATTACTTCAACCCTTAGCACCAAAATATCCTACACTGATGTAACCATAATAAAAGTTTATGTAATTTAATAACTAATATTAAATTGACATAAACTAATATAATTGTATTATTATGGTATAGTTTATTTGAATGAGAAGATAGTGATAGGTAATTTTAATAACCAATATGAATTTTAATAATTAATATTAAATTAACATAAACTAATATAATTGTATTATTATTGTATAGTTTATTTGAATGGGAAGACAGTGATAGGTAATTTTAATAACTAATATTAGATTGTCATAGACTAATATAATTGTATTATTATTGTATAGTTTATTTGAATAATAAGACAGTGATAGGTAACTTTTTGGTTACATGTAGATATTGACCCAATGTTTAATATAATTACATAAAAATATGATGTGAAATAAGAAACAACAGTAGAAATTATAGTTTTTACTATTCAAGTTGGGAATTATTTGCATCTTTTAAGAACATTATATATTTCTCTTCATATTCTGTGTGAAAATATTTTAGTCATATTATTACAGATACTACGATAATATTCTCTTAATGTCAAATCGTTTAGAATTGCAAAATTAATATCTATAAATTGGTGGGAAATTCTGTTTGTATTATACGTATTATGTTAAATTGATATTACTCGACTTTTAACAAAAACTGGAAAAATTGAAATTTTTATCATTTTTATATTCCTCCATAAATGAAATCACAAATGTCGTACTTATTTTTAAAACAATAATAATATCCTGCACTACCACATAACATTATTTCCTTTATAAGAGTAATATTTTTAAAATTATCATTTTAATAAACTTCATTCTTTCACTACTTTTATAAAATTTGTAAGTATGATAATATTACAGCGATATAGATTATATCTGACTATTTTAGTCGAGAGTATAATAGATTTAATTTATTTTAACCAAGGATATTCCATTAATCCATCGCGATTAGTCTGAATTTCTTGCAAACGATATGGTGATTTATCGTTGATCTTGAACTCATGTTTATTCATTGTTTTTATTTCATTGGCCTCTATTGATCTCGAGAGACGATGGTCTCTCGTTTCAACTATTTCCATAAACCGGTGGGGTGCTATAGTAGATATCAATGGGTCCTTCTCAATTCACCAAAATTATTGGTTCCTGTGTTTTTATTCTCTGTTACCAAAAACATGCAGTTGCTTTTAGACAAATTAATATTATCCTTTGTTAAAATAGAAACGTAATTATATACCACCTTCATCGCCTTATTTTAATTATCATCCATATGTATATACTATAACACATTTAATTAACTCTTTCGCTCAAGCCTATGGTAATTACAAATTATGTATATGAATAAATAAGTTATCGTAATATTATCTTAATTATATTATTTTCTATAGAAAATCCTAAAATAGTTATTTCAATTTTTTTGCCATTTTAGTATGGCACTTGTTCAGGTATTATTTAGGCAATGTTCTATGGCAAAAATGTAATCTTCGTTTTTGGAGAAAATTATGGTGATTTTGAACATAATGATATACATTGGTATGCATTGGTATGCATTGGTATGCATTGGTATGCATTGTTTTGCCTTCTTTTTCGAGTTTGGAATTGTTACTTTATTTTCTATGCCACATATTTATACAAGTTTTCTGTCTTTTTCTTCTCCTTCTTAGAACAATAAAATTTGAAATTTCAGGTGGGCTCGGAATCAGACATCTGCAAGTGTTTCTGCTTTTCTTAGGAATGGTAATTGGATACTGTCTTCGAGTGAGCATATCGGTAGCTGTTGTTGCAATGACAAATGCTAATTCATTCGAGGTAAATTGCACATGGATATAATTTGCATAAAGTCGTTAGATAAATTAATATAGTGTCGCTGTTTGTAATCAAATGATCATCACAAATGTTAATAACGATATCATTAAACTTACTTTTCATTATATCAATTGTCAAAAATGTAAAAAGATTAACCATATAAAATATCTCGTGACTATATTTCCGAGATAAAATTATTTTCTTTATTTTTTGATAAATTCGTAGATTTTTATCATTGATGAAAAGTTCGAGGTCTTATTGCAAAAGCCTTATTTTATAATAATTAAAGATATAAGAAATCTTCTGTTTCTCTCTACTTTTTGGTCTTTTAATATTCTTAAGTTACGTTTTCAATGAGATTAAAATTATACTTTAATAAATAAAAAATTCAAAACATCATAAGCAATAATTCTTATAAAATATTGTATAGTTATATACAATTGTTACTCTTTGTTATTAATATAATATAATTACTTTTTCGTGAAACATAATTCTATAGTTCGTTAAATTTGTTTTTAATAATAATTGCTATGAGAATGTAGCATAACAAAATTAAATTATATAGTATATACCACGTATAATAAAATATTATATTTGTATTTTAAAATGCACGAACTGATATAGCAGTTAATTTTGTTTTTCTTTTATTAAAGAATGAAAATGCGATTATGTATAAAGAGATATTTGAATTTTTGTTATTAAATTATTGCTTAGGATATTATTATACCACTGACAAGGTAAAAAAGAAATTGAAAAATTTAGAATGTTTCGTTTATACAAGTTTTTATTATTTTACGTTATAGACCAAATTTGGACATTTTAATTAAACAAATAATTAAAGAATAAAATTAATAATTAACCCCTTACACTATGATATAATTATGAAAAACTTTGAATTGTAAAATTGTTTAATTTTAATTAGTCACTAATTAACCTATTCTATTCATTATAGAATTATAAAAATTCTTAGGATTTATTCAAATTTTGTTACATATAATTTTATTTTAATATGAGATTTAGCATGAAAAATTCACGACGAGTTAAATTCGTTATCGCAAGACAACACGATAAATAAAATAGTATACGTAAATTGTATATGTAAATCGTTAAAGTAAATACTTACATACGCATGTAAGAAATATAAAAATATGAAATAGATATAGGTAAAGCAAATTTTAAGGAAATTTTATATATTTCCAGAATTTTTATGTTACCACTTCCAATATTAGAGTTGAAAATACAAACTATAGACAAGTGTCTAGTTTCGGTATCAAATGCTGGGAAATATCGATAAAAATAGTTTTACAAATAAAAGAAAAATGTATAAACATTAACATTTACTTGTTAATATACTTTGTGTACGAGTTTTACACGAACACGAAAATATCCTAAAAAATATAAGTAGTATGGAAAACTATTTGAAACAAAAATTACAAGGTATTAATAATAACAAATGGCATTGTTATTTATTTGATCTAGTGGTGATCTTGGAAAGCTTTATAGAGGTCATGGATAAATTTTTTAATAGAAACCTACATTTTTGATTACATATTCTTGTAACTGATGTTGAGACCTTTCAAAGTATTTCCTGCACATGTACTTTGTGTATGTCCTTCCTGAAATATGATGTTTTAAATTTGATCACCTTGATGTATATCGTCCGACTGGCAGGTAACCTCCTAGCAGTGATATATGTATATAAATATGTATATTCAGTGGTAGACAAAAGAAAGTTTTAAGTTAGCATTCATGCATACAAGTATTTGTAACTTTTATGCCAACTATAATATAACAAATACAGTAAATAATGAAAGTACATTTATGTAAAATTCATTGCTTTTATAAAATATAATTCCTTCTTGTAAAATTATAGTGTTTTATGCCAACTATAACATAACAAATACAGTAAATAATAAAAGTATATTTATGTGAAATGTGTTGCTTTTATAAAATATAATTCCTTCTTGTAAAATTATGGTGTTTTATGCCAACTATAACATAACAAATACAGTAAATAATAAAAGTATATTTATGTGAAATTTGTTGCTTTTATAAAATATAATTCCTTCTTGTAAAATTGTGCTTTGTACTAATTATAATATAATAAATATAGTAAATAATAAAAGTATATTTATATGAAGTTTTTGTTGCTTTTATAAAATATAATTCTTTCTTATAAAATTATGGTGTTCCTTTGTACCGTTAACATTCAAGCTTTCTTTTGTTCGTTACTGTATATGGCCATAATACTTAAGTTGGAGGTACGACAACTTTGTGATTTTATCTCGGAAATAAGGTATGCAAAATACACGTGTACGTAGTGTTTTAAGAAGGTATCGATGTCAGCTGTAAGAATATGTAATAAAAAAAACAGGTTTGTATTAAAAAAAATGGCGCGTAACCTTCACAGGACTTTCCGTTGCTTCAAGGTCAAATAAATATTGACATCGCATATTTCTTCAATTTTTACGATCTTTCCAACACCTTTTTCTCTTTATTTATTTACGTGAAAAATCGATCTAATTAATATTTCAATATTTGACTGTCCGTGATGGAAAGTCCATTTTCTACATGAGAAATTTTATTAAAACAATTGGCATTTTCGATGCCAATAAAGCGATTAAAATCAAATATGTTCGTGAAGTATTCAAAGTTCAAATATATCTTTTCTTATAAATTTTATAGAGTTAATAGCAACATTAATTTCTTACATAAACCTATATCCACGTTATATTTAAATTTTGGACTAAAATAAATTTTATAAAGTATCAAATGTTACTTAAATCTGCGTGGTACACGTGATGTAATTAATTAAAAATATTTCATTGCATTATTAGATTAGAATCTAATATTTCTATGCGATAAAACAAAGGAAACGAGTTCGTGTTATGTGGACTCGTTTGTATTTTTTGTGACGTCAAGTACGTGACCTTTGGGAATACTAAATGTTGTTATTGAACTAAAGAAAGAGATATAAATTTCCTGTTAGTATATTTTACCTAAAAGAATTGAACAATTGAAAATTTACTATTATTATATTCTGCGTAAAATAATTGAATTGAAATAAATTTTTCTACTTCGTACAATATACCGAGTGAATTGCAGAAAAAGCACGTGAGAAAAGTAATTTTGTATACAGTTTCACAAATTTTATAATTATTTATTTAATCTGATTCAAATACTTCAGATACTTTCATTGTGACTTTATATAATTGCGATAATATAAAGACACAATCAAATAGATTAAAATTTAATTTTTGTAACTAGCTACAATTTGAGAAAATGGATATTTCAAACTTTTGCAGCAATGTTTCCATGGCATTGTAAAAAATATCGAGATAAATTCAGCGACCTTAAAAATGCTACTCGTTCACACATTATATAACGTTATGACCGTACTATATGTAGATATACAATACAGGACGAATCATTCGATCTGTTATAAATAATTTTCTTGAAAGCAATTAGGTATAACATAAAAATTTTCTTTTTATAAGAAAAGTTTCAGAAGACAAAAAGTGATACTATATTTAAAATATTTCAAATTATACAGTTAGTGATACGTGATTTTACATGCGAATGTCTATAGCGATATTTGATCCTAAATTGATAGTTTAAAGGACGTTCGACATCGAAGTATTAGAAAGTAATAAAATCAAGTATAATACAAATCATTTGTAACATAATGCATAATATAATCGATGAAATTTACGTAAAATAACTTTTACATTTACATAGTTGGAAAGATATCTAAAAATTATTTAGCAAACATAACCAAATTATTTAGTAAACATAACCAAACATTTAGGGAATTTAGAATAGAAGACTTTACTCTAAATCTTTTTTACCTCGTTATTTCAAACTTGTATTACATGGCATACGACACGATTAATCATTTTAAATTAATCATTTCAATCGATTAATTCTTAGTTATAACGTAATTACTCGTCATAAAATATTACCGAGACAGGACTGTAAATAGTAAAAGATGCAAGTAACTAGTTGGATTTATTACTAATGAATTACGACGATTTCAAACAACGGAATATTTTTAAAACAGCTGACTCAATCTTGCAGGTTGTAGAGTAGGAAATCTTGCAAAATAAAATTGCTTCCTCTAGGCACACGTTTTCCGTTCTAGTATGCATGAATGTTATTCGATATCTGGTTACGCGTTCAAGTCGAGCAGCGCGCACAGCGCTGCGAGCGCCTGCGTGTGCGGCGTGTACCACTATCGAATACGGTTCGTACATACAGTTAGTAACGGGAAGCGGAGCGATGGAAATTTTCGATTGAATACATACCTATTCACCTGTTAGACGTAAATTATATAATGAAACTGATATAATAGTTTAATAGCACTTATGACGAAAGAAAAACTTTACGTTTACGTTTATTGGATTCCTCGGTTTTTGTTCTGTACTCCTTTTAAGATAAATAAATAAAAATGTTCAATGTTAATTGATTTTCTACTAATTTTATTCGCTGGAACGTGCAAGTCAATTTGAATACGAAAACTATGAAAATATAGAATATACACGGGATAAATATTTAAATATTTTTAAATACTTATATAACATACTGTAGGATGGAGGAAACTAGTTTTGAGATATTAAAACTGATAGAACAACAAAAACAGAATAACACAAATACAAAACTCATAAAACTAATTTTACTTAGCAAAAGAACACCAAGGTAACGCAATGAAAACACACAAAGACGCACTCTAATTTAACTCTCTTTCCAACACCGAGAGACACACGCTCATGCCGGCCATAATTAACCCTTTGCACTCCAGAGGTGACCTTCAGTCACCATTTCATAAAATTTGGAAGATCGATATTAATTAATATATAAGAAAAAAAATATTGTAACAGTGTGCGAGGTATCGAAATCAAATAATTCTACAATTTTATTATTATACTATTCTTTATTTACTGCTCAAAAAAGTATCGTCAGTTTTTTAGTAGAGAATCTTTGATTTTCAACTCTTCTCTAGCCAAAAAATCGTCGAGTGCAAAGGGTTAATTTCTAAGGACTCTGTTTTGGTCGTTAAGGGCCCAACTTTTACGCTTTTCTTTACCTACGATTCATCTCCCCGTATGGACCACGCAACTTAATTTTGTTACCCAAAATAATTTTTCCATTTGCTTCTAGAAAATATTGATCGATTTATAATTTGTTTTTGTTGCCAATGGGCGATTCGCAATTTCTTTCGAAATGGTACCCTACAATATAAATATTTATTTTTATTGTAATAATGTAATTTAATTGTAATTTAACATTTATTTTTATGTGTAAAATAAGACAGTTTTTACAACACTGCTTTTTTATTGTCGGATAAAAATAGTCAAAATATTAATTTTCTAATAAAATTAAGTTTTAAAAAATAACATTTTTAACAAAATTAAGTTACAAACTTATAAATTGAATTTTTAACAAATGATTTCGAGTCATCTTGACGAAAACGAATATATGCTAAGTAAGACTTAGACGTCAGTATATATGTAAGTACATGAGAACAAAAGACAAGTCGTGCTTTCGCAAAATAGGAATTTAGTTTTATTTATAAAATAAAAGAATAAATAAAAGATAATTGAGCAAAAAAATGCGAGAAAAATATTAGGAATTCAATTCAAATTGAATTTTTCTAATTATTGATAAAATTAACATTGATCTTTATCAAGTAATATCAACATTAATCAAGTCAAACATATATCTATTTATTTTTATTGTACTATTTTAATTATTGTCGTCCATACATATATAATCGACGTAATCGAAAATTAATTCTTTAATTTGGATGAAAACCTATGAGTATATATATATATATCGTAATTGATTATATATGCAAAAATCTTTCTTTTTCACATATATCACTATAAATAGATGAAATCGGCAATTATAATTTTCCACATGAATTTTCCAGTATGACTTTTACAATTGGTAACTTTGATAATTTTTACAAAAAGAATTTTTTGGATCAACGAATCAAGATTCAATAATAATACGATACACGATAATAGCATAATTTGTGAGTGTTGGTTTTATATGTGTGAATGCGAATGAGATTGAATAAGTGAAACTCATTTGCGATGATATAAATATATGTGCGAGTGCAGTCTAATATGAATGATGTTTGAAAAAATGTTTAGAAGAATGTGCCACAATAAAACAGTTATGTGAGAATTGTCGGAGAGGAAACATGGGTATGCAACGGTTAATAAACGTGTGAGAGAGAGAGAGAGAGAGAGAGAGAGAGAGAGAGAGAGAGAGAGAGAGAGAGAGAGAGAGAGAGAGAGAGAGAAGAATTTTCTAGAAAGTGTTAATTATTTTTTTTTTTTTTAAATAGTTTATTGCGAGTTGTTTTCATCCTTCAAATATTTTTATCTAAATATACTAATGTGTTAACTGTTAAAAAACGCAGAAGATACCGGTGTCCATTTCTATCTACACATTGAGGTATGAGGGCAGAGTATTTGAACACTTTAATGGTTTGAATACTATTAACTCTTTGCACTCGAAGATTTTTTGGCTAGAAAAGAGTAGAAATTCAAAGATTCTCTACTAAAAAACTGACGATATTTTTTTGAGCAGTAAATAAAGAATTGTATAATAATAGAATTGTAGAATTATTTTACTTCGATATTTCGCACACTATTACATTACATTAAATTTGATATATTAATTAATATCGATCTTCCAAATTTTATGAAATGGTGACTGAAGCTCACCTCTCGAGTGCAAAGGGTTAAACGGTGAATTAAATGATATTATTTCAATTTAAATATGTAAATATCTTAAAAATTATTGAGTAGTGGCACCTATAATCATATACCTTCAGCATCAGGAGAACCAAATTTACCATTCTGCTAAATTTGAACTAAATCGGTGATCCGAAGTCCTTGTACTCTCCTGTTAAGTGGATACTTCATAACTTTCGGTACCCTATTTTTCAGTTTCTACATTTGAAAACAGGTAGATATTCGAATATCGAAATATCTCCAATACTATCTTACGATGTGTATATAAATATTGTAGAATCACACAGTCCCTACTCGCTGGAGAGTACCTCGGAATACTCAAATTCACTGCGGTCTGTATTTTCTATTCGATTCTCAATAACGCGTAACTCTCGCAATCACAACTCTCGGTCTCAACTCTCTCAAGGACTACCTCAACTCTCTAATGACTATCTCCAAACTCTCCTCTATCTTCCAGAGCGGGCCCTTTTAAGCCCGTCTGGAAGGCAAGGGCCTCCCCCGAAGGAGGAGAAAGCTCCCTCCACGTAACGCTCTGGGGTGGAAGGGATTCCTCCTTCAGGTTAGGCTCTCCGAAGGGTCACCCACGTGGGAACCCTTCCCGAGAGGTGCCCACGGACGCGTCACCACCGGTTTACGATGGGGAAAACCGGGGTTGAGCGAGGCTACCTCACATGGCCTGGCCCCAACTTCCCCAGGCTCGTCTGGCCGTCAGACGCTAACGGGGCCTCTATACCTGGAGAAGTTAAAAAATATCCTACAATATTATGTTTCTATTTAAGAAACCAAAATTAACGCGTCCACCTACAGGAAAAACTCGTTTATTTTAAACCATTTGTTTCTTATTCGAAACATTTTTCCATCCAGCCAATAGTTTACTAGTATATAGCATTTAAAATTGTTCACTTTGTACATGTAACTATCGTTTACTAATTTTAAATATTTTTCATTAATTTGATGTCGAACGAGAAATAATTAAAAATAATGAAAAGAATTCTTTTATTGTTGTAATTAGGTATTCCCTTGGGACAGCATACAACAGTCAACGATCCAAAGTGCATTCTTCTGGGGCTACACCATAATGCAAATACCAAGTGGCTATATAGCAGCGTATTGGAGCGGTCAAAAGTTACTCAGTGTTGGATTATCGCTTTGCGGAATTTTGCAAATTCTGACACCGATTGTCGCACATTATGGGGGTTACATTAGCGTCTGCGTTTGTAGGGCAGGCATAGGTCTCTGTCAGAGCTGCCTTCTACCCTGTGTACACACTCTTCTTTCCAAATGGGCACCCCCGACTGAACGTGCACGACTCGGTGAGTACTATTGTCAATACCTTTCAATTATTCCATTGTTATCTGCGTGTTATAGAATTATTACATAATTATGTTAACACTTTGACTGCCAACTACGAGATATCTCGTAGGTTGTTTATTTTCCCAGGACGCCTACTACGAGTTATCTCGTCTCTTTGTTATTTGCCATATTTGTACACCTACGAGAAACCCGTAGTATAACTGTAGTATAATTCAAAAAGAAAAAGTTTATACAAGTTTATTCATGCAGAATAACATTTTTATGGTTTGTGATAATTTTTAAAACAATCTTGCATCCCAACTACCAGATAATTCGTAACACGTTTCTTTAAAAAAAAACTATTTTTTAAGCTTTTTGATTATTACTATGTACTATAAATGGAGTTTTTAATAATATAACATGGTTAAATCAAATTGGCTTCTTAGACCGGAATCGTGAAAAGTTGCGTGGCAGTCAACGTGTTAACACTTTACTGGCTATATATTTATCAAATCGCCATTACGCTACTGCCGTCAAGATTCACGTAGGTTCTACTGCTCGCCAACGGTGATATTTACGCAATTGTTCGCAACATAAGGAGTTGCAATGTTCCCTGATCGTCAAATGTTGCTTTGCAATAATATGTCTATCTATACAAACTTCGATACGAAGCATCATCGTCAGTGAAAATAAGTCACGCGTACGTGACAGCGGCTGGCAATGTGTTAACACTAGAACTACCAACCCAGTCAAAATGACTGGTCCCAGAATTTTCCTTTTTGCAATCACCGAACACATACACCTGCTTTAAGAATAAAATTGGTATCAACTCGTATTAAGAAAGAATTGTAATCAATATATTCACTCGTATTCATCGTATCGTTGAAATTACTATAATCTGTGCACGTTATAATTAGGTACCCATTAAAGATCGATAGTTCTAGTATTAATACCCATGTCAACGTCACAGAATTTAACTATATTCTTGTAATTAGTTAGATCCCTTGGTCTACCCTGTCATTTTAAAAGTCCTGATATATACCAAGATGCATTTTATATCGTGCATTTAGAACAATAGAAAGTACCTTGGAATAGGTGCAGAAAGGAGGATTGGAGAAAGAAATGAACAGCTAAAATATTAACACTAGAACTACCAACTCAGTCAAAATGATTGGTCCCAGAATTTTCCTTTTTGCAATCACCGAACACATACACCTGCTTTAAGAATAAAATTGGTATCAACTCGTATTAAGAAAGAATTGTAATCAATATATTCACTCGTATTCATCGTATCGCTGAAATTACTATAATCTGTGCACGTTATAGTTAGGTACCCATTTAAGATCGGTAGTTCTAGTGTTAATAACCAACCACCCTAACATCCGAGTAGTTAGTGTAGTTTTAGTTATAGAAGAATAGGTAACCATTAGAAATATAATAATCGTACAAAAATTTTCGTATATTCTTTATTTTTCGATAAATTATTGTACGTTCTTTATTTATATAATTAAAGTAGAAAAAACAATATTTATATAATTAAAGGTAAAGTAATATGTTACATCTAGATATTTCTTATTAAACAAATAAAATACTAACATAAAAGTTGATACAATAGTTTAATGGAAGTAAAAAGATATCTGATTTGAAAATACTCGTTCCACAAAACTATTCGTACACGATATATCTGCTTTATTTACTAGAGATATGTGTTTGTTTACTCTGATTCTTCGCTATACTGTATCTCGAGAAACATAAGTATCTGTTATACGTGTAAATTCTAAGTAGCTCTACACGTATTTCAAGGTTATATTTTATTATGACTCAATGATTAATCGGTACGTCATAAGGATGACCAAGAGAATAATTTTATGTTTACATCAAGAAGAAACGGTAATTCTAGAAGAAATAAAACCAATATTTAATTTATTTTTGTTTACAGTCACAAAGTATGGTCATTTCTTAATTTTTTTAAATAAAAACAAGCCACTTGCACAAATTCCTTTTCAAAAAGATTTAGCATTTCGAATACCATAGTCACTTTTATACTCCGTGTGTTTCAAACTTGGAAATTGATTATTAGAAAATATAATACTGAAATTAGGAATAAAGTATTCGTATAGATAGTACGAAGTATTCGGCTGGAATACGTGTGTGGGGGATCCTTCCCCCACCATCGTTTGAAGTCGCTGTGGCAGGTTCCCCGTGGTTGGTGTATCTATAAGGGACGTTAGGAAAAGGAAGGGATGCCGTTTCGCTCGGGCCTGCTAGCGGACTCATCAGTAAGGCTTGCTTAGCAGGCCCTGCCTTAGACACTGAGGATAGTAATAGAAAGACGGGAAGTTATATATATGTGGGATTGGAATAAGAACGGCCCTGGAAGAATGGCAGGTGTGTCTGGATCCAGAACGAAAGAGACCGCGCGCAAGAGTATCGATTTCAATGAATGTTTATGTTAGAGGGAAAGATTAGAGATGCGTGCAGAGTGTTTGAAGTACCGCGCCCTCCGAGGTTGCGTAGGAAAGAAGTATGATTGCGAAGGAAAGCCTGGGTATGGAAAAGAACAGAGTGAATGCTTAAATAAGGGTGCCAGGGCGCGGGCAGCAACAGTCCTTCACGGTCTTCAAGATAGCGTCTAACAAGTAAGAGTCGAGCGTACCCGTAGCGGGTCTCTAGTTTCGTAGCCAATAAGTATAAGTTTATTGTATTTTAAGAAGCAGTAAAACAACGTTACTTTAGCTAATCCACCCACCCCGATCCCACATATATAGGAAACTGGGAGTTTCCCGAGGACTTGCGGGAAAGTCCTTGAAGGCGGAATCCATCTAGTGGCGAGGGCGAGAATGATGGTCGCTACACGTGTATGATGATTGGGAGAAGCTGGCAACAGGATGATCGTCCTTTGTTCTAGCACCGCGTTTGCCAGTGATGTCACTTTTGTCAGGCAGGAGGTTCCTTCTCTTGAAAGAAAGCCGATATTATACTAATTGTTGGGATTCTGGGAAGGAAATCAAAGTGTTTAGCGTGCAGGGAAATAACTGTATTCAGTTGTACAGCAATAGATATATAAACTTTAATACAGGTGAAATATATACATGTAGGATTGGGTTGGGTGGATTGGCTAAAATAGCGCTGTTTTACTTCTTAATAAAATACAATAAGCTTATACGTAGATTGATGGCTATGAAACAAGAGGGATTCGCTATGGGTACGTTCGACTTTGGCTTTTTACTGACATACTCTTGGACACTAGCTTAAGAACTCTTAAAAAACTGTTAACACGTTGAGTGCTACGTCAGTCCCTAGGAACTGACAGTAGACTTTTCGTTTGGACGGTGTGGATTCTAGGGACTGACAGCGAATTTTTCGTTTGATCATTATCGGTGCGTAAGACTGGCATTGTCAAGGGTTAAATTATCAATGACAATTAATATATTGTAAAAATTTAATTCCCTCTGCTAAAGTAAATCTTTACACTTCCGTGGCTTTTCCCGACTGATCGTCTCTTGGTGATCGCCTTTTTGCCTTTCTGGCATTCCCCACCCCATTATCTTCTGTTTATAATTTGTATATTTGTGCATTGGCTGTACCATTCTCACAGTCCAAACGACAAAATGAAACAAAGTAATCTTCTGCTCAAACCCTTCGGTATACTTGAGCGTTCGGCATCAAGTGCTCACTAGCTGCCGCCTGAGCGGAAAGTGTAGCAAAATCGGCAGGTACTTCAATCACTCTGGACGCATCCCTAAACTTTCGCTCGACCCTACCATAAACATTCTTTGCAGTTAATTCGCTTGCACGTGGTCACTTTCATCCTAAGCTCAAACACACTTGGCATTCTTTCAGGGCCGTACTTATTCCAATCCCACATACACTTATGCGAATGTAAAAAACAAGAGCTTTAAATACGGCCCTATGGGTCACAATACTTTAAAAGCGTTCTATACTGTTCCGAATTAGAGACTGACTGCTGCAAGACACAGCAGGCCCTTTTAAACCCAAAAACCGACCCCTTGATGCCTGCATAGTATCCCAGGTTTTAGAAGTCTAAAGGTCGGCATTGATCTGCAATCTCTAACAGGCCTGTCACCATCGTTGCGTGACAGTAGTTAATTTACAACACTAATTAATAGGTATTATACAAATACTTAGTATCTTCTACTTACTATATCTTAATATTAATACGTTGATTACTATGGTGATCATCAGTGATTGACGCTTGTGTCCTCAGTGGGGCCATGGTGGTCACCAGTGTCTGATGATACTAATTTTTTAAATTTATATTTGTTTTATTCTAATCAATTTTTGAATGTTTGAACAACGTAAATAGATAGAGAACTTTGAACAGAAGACATTAATAATTTGCACCATTTTGTTTTGCCATATTGTTTGATAATTCATGATTATATCGTAAAAATAATGGAAATTTTGTCATGGACCCCTGAGCATACCATACAATAAGTGCATGGCAGTCAATGTGTTAAATAATAATTTTAAAACCTATATATATTTATTTAATAAAGGGGGTACCCAAATATACTTGTAGCTAAATAAAATAATTATACGAAATTCTTCAAATAGTTAATTAAAATATTTTCTGCACTCCACTTATACCTGCGAAGCTAACTTTCGCTTAGAGAAACGTTAACATTGGTCTAATTATTAGCTTACATGCTGTATCAACGATTTCAGAAATACCAAAATTGGAATAATACAAATGACTATTATTTACCTATTATTTTATGACTATTATTATTATTGACGACTATTATTAACTAATATTATTTTAGCAATAATAATGACTGATAACAAATGAAATTACGTGAGAAATGTCCGTCAATATCGATATCAATACATTGCCAAATATCGTATTGTTACTAATTATCATAGTTTATCATAGATACCTCAAATATAGGAGAACGTCGATAAGAATTAAAATATATTTTTATGAAGATCATGATTAACCCTTTGCGCTCAAGAGGCGCCCTTTAGTCGCCATTTAATGAAATTTCCAAGCTCGATA